TCCAGCGAACCCAAGTTTGGAGACTTGTTTTAACCGAAGGTGGAGGAGGGCGATTTGAAGATAAGCTAGCTGGAGCTATTTTCCTTATATGGGCATTTGGTTCGACGTCAATGCATAGCGCCGTAAACACTGGCAGACTGTCGCTAAGAAACGGTTGTCGAAGGCAAGCTGGAGTTTCCCCCCACAGTTTTAAGAGCCATACCTGATATTGCTCAGATTTGGATTTCCAAGACAAATTATACAACACCAGGAGCGTTAAAACCACAGATTCTTAGCCATAAAAAAAGGCTGATTGTGACACAAATGTTTACAGTGAAAGAGGATTTTTATGTAAAGTCCTATTTGCAGAAGGGATTAGTATAACACCTGTGGTCGTTGTCAAATTACCGCCCCACCTCTTGATACTTGCAGCGCGTTCACCCTTGATAAGTAAAATGTCTGAAATGACTAGATATTCACGCACACAACGCCTCGTTGTCAATAGCAACACAATCACGAATGCAGATTCTTACAGGAGTAGTAATATCACTGGGGCGTCTGTGACAAATACCGGAGGGGGAAATTTGCAGCGAATTATACCGCTTTACAAATTACAGGACATGGCGCATTCGAGAATGTCTAATTAACCAGAGATACTAAATCCTATGCGAATTGGGCTTAACACAGTAGGAGCCAGAGAGAGTTGGAGCCAAACTTCATTCCATGAGCACTTTCCATATGGGGCTGCTTTGACGAGCAGGTTAGCATTGTCCAGCTACGCTGAAAAGTATCTTGAAGTGGAGTGATTTTTATAACAAATCATTTGTTTTGTCTCATTGGCAAATTCATGTTCTACTTTTGTTCATAAATATCTGTAGGAGAAATAACTGAGAACTCGTCCGCCTCCTACAGAGAGCAGGGCGGCGGCCACTAGAAGGGCCGCTAGGCAACAACCGCCCACCACTCACGAACCTTGCTCATGTTACCTTGATCAAAAGTTAAAAAAACATAATAACATTAAAATATTTCGAAATTTTATGTGAGTGTTTTATTTCATATGTGGAAGAACTACTTTAATAGTTTATGCGAGTAGGGATTGATTAAGCTCATCACGTTTCTGTGTCGGACTGAGGACGTATTTCCCATTCCCGCTCAGGGCGCAAAAGATTGCGCCCTGAGCCGTCTATGGACGTCTCGATAAAAGTTGGACATGCGCAGTAGCTCCTCTTCAAATGCAAAGATTAACATTTGGGGCGCAGGAATTGCGCCTGAGGGGCGGGATCGCCCGCAGACCTTGTAACTCACTGTCGTGTGACGTCCGTCTTACAGTGATTGACAGGTCAAGCTGTGGGAGTTTGAGAAACGAACGTAAAGATGACCCACAATGGAGAACAGAAAAAGAATAATGCAGTTAATCACTCAAACAATACCGTTTGCGGAACAGATCATACCAGGAGAAGGTTGAGGTTAAAGAGCTTGTGGGACCTGATTCAGGCCAAATATTACCGATTAGTCAGCAGTCCCGCGACAAGGGGGAGAGACGGTACCCTCGTACTTTTCCCCAGGACCTGGTTCAGGCGCCAAATCTGGCTAGCAGCATGGAGCGAGGCTAATTGCTTTATTTTGCTTTCCAGCCTCTTGTGACAAAACATCAGGAATCTGACCCAGCATGGATCCAAGACAGGTATGACTTGTCTGAAGCACTTTGGTTAGAAAAGGCAAAGGAAGCATGAGCAGACCTGGTATCCACAAAACCACAGCGCAAAATGCCTCAATTAGCTATGTTTGGGAAGATAAATATTTTTCATCCCAGCTGGATGAAAGCTCAGGGTAGGATCAAAAGCATCCCTACCCGCTGTAATATCTATCTCATATCATAGCCCCCCCAGTAGAAAAATTTCAACCAGCCGCCACTTGCGAAGCTCTGCCCCTAAAGAATTGGACATGAACGTTAGTCAAGCGGTCATAATCAAAAATATGTTGTGATCAACCTCATTCGCTTTGTTTGCGGACTGGACACAAAGGGGGGGGGTTGTAGATAAATAAAATGACCTCTTTCCTCAAGCAAAGACATTTAGTTTGTATAATGAGACATATTATATCGTCTGTCTCCACTTGTTTAAATCCTTGTGGTTCAGGTTTTTATTGTGGGTAAGAATGTCTTAAGATAAGTGCCATGTCAAACACCCTTCCCCCAAGGGGGGGGGGGGTGGGGGGGGGGGGGGGGGGGGGGACTCTACAAGATGTGAAGACTTACAAGGACCCACAGGAAAAAAACCCAGTCTGCTTTGGGAACCCACGGAGGTGCCCAGACCTCCCTGGTCCTCTGCTCAGGCACCAAGGGGCTTTGGGCCTCTGAGATGCCTCAAACCTCACACCACGTTTGAGAGGACAAATTTAGTTTTTCAAAATGTTTGAAATTTTGCACACATAAATCTGTTTTGCCCTCTTGATTCAAAAAGTCAATTGGGTCCAAGGCTTATTTTTTACCCTGTTGCCGTGGCGACGAGAAACGCTCCCCATTCATTTGCAAATGTACACCTCACACAAACATCAAACCAGCCTCGGCCGTTTCACCGATTCGCCTCAAAATCGCTCCACATCATCTCAACACATGTACCATCAAAATGACTTCAGGGAATTTTGATCAGTGAAACGTTGTTTGAGCAGCCAGAGCGCCCAAAATAGTGGCGTATTTTTTTTTCAGTTTTTGACGATAGAAAAATTGCTTCCGTTTGCACAAACAAAGTCTGATTTGCACAAAACTTGAATCCATGGTTCAACTCTTGGGTCTAGGTCATTTGAAAGTTTAAAATTTTGAAATTGGCTCTATAGCGCCACCTACAACAGCCAATTTTAAAAATGCCTATGGGAGGGGTTCGAGGTCAAAATTGTCGTTAGAACCATGTAATTTGGAACACATGTTCCTCAAGTCAAGACATGGAAAAAATGTTATTATGGCTAAGCCTCTGACAAACAGGAAGCCCATAAATTTCATTGCAAATCTGGAAAAATGAAAACCAATCATTTTCATAAACGTCGGTTGGAAAGCGATCTCCTCTCGGCCGTTTCACCGATTGGCCTCAAAATTGTTCCAAATCATCTCAACACATTTACCTTCAAAATGATCTTCAGGGAATTTTGATCAGTGAAACGTTGTTTGAGCAGCGGAGCGGCAAAATGTGAGGGTTTTTTTGGCCGTTTTTGACAACATTAATTTTTTCCCGTTTGCCACAAACAAAGTCTGATTTGCATTTAAACTTGAATCCATTGTTCAACTCCAGGGTTTAGGTCAGGTTGAAGTGAAATATTTGAAATTGGCCCATTAGCGCCCCCTACAGACTGATTCAAAGTTTCATGGGGAGCCAAACCAGCTCTACTTATCATATTCATTACAATTTGACTAACATTCTTCTATGGCTACGGGAAACAAATCATCACACGGGCGGCGCCACCTCCTTATGCGCGGTGCTGCGTGGTACGGTGTGGTGCGGCCGTATAGTGCGGGGCGTTGTGGAGCGGTGCGTTGCGGCTTGGTGCGGGGCGGCGTGATGCGGGACGGCGTTGGTGCGGGGTGGCTTGGTGCGGGGAGGGCTTGGGTGGGGTTTTGGCGCGTGGTGCGGGGGCGGCGTGGAACGGGGTGGTGCGCGCGGTGCGGGGGAGTCGCGCGGTGCGGCGAGGGCCGTTCGACGCCGCTTGCGGCTTTAATTATACTTGTTCTAGCCCAGGAAAACCTGGGAAAGAACAAGTTTGCTGTTGTTTGATGTCATATTTGACCCACTGAACATGCACGAAAACTTACAAAATTTTGCCACAAGTTCTGTTCTTGCAAACACTTTATTAATTTTGTGTTCCTAGTAAGAGACTTCAAATTTGAAGTTGTAGGGGGCGCAATTGTAGTCTAATAAAGCCACCATTTGCACATACAAAGTCCGATTTGCACCAAATTTGAATTGGTTGTTCAACTTTTGGGTTTGGGTAAACTGAAAGTGTAAAAACATCAAATTGAGGCATTAGCGCCCCCTACAGAATGTCATTTTCACACATGTTGGTTGGAAAGCGACTCCTCCTCGGCCTTTTCACTGATTTGCCTTAAAATCGCTCCACATCGTCTAAACACATGTACCATCATTTTGATTTCAGCGATTTTTGATCAGTGAAACGTTGTTTGAGCAGCGAAGCGCCAAAAAGTGGCGTTTTTTTTTTAGTTTTTGACTATAGAAAAATTACTTCGTTTACTCAAACAAAGTCCGATTTGCACAAACTTGTTTTCATGGTTAAATCTCTAGGGTGTAGGTCATTTGAAAGTGAAATAATTAAAATGCCAGAACAGCGCCCCCTACAACAGCAAATTTAATACTCCTATGAGAGTTTTGGAGTTCAAGTTTGCCGTAGAGCCATGAAATTTGGTACACATATTCCTCAAGTTAAGACATGAAAAAAAATTGTTATTATGGCCCCGCCCTCTGACAGACAGGGAGCCCATAAATTTCCCTGTAAAAAATGGATAAACTAACGAATCCAGCAATTAATTTTCACACTCATGTCGTTTGGGAAGCGATACTCCTCCTCCGGCCGTTTCACAGATTTCGCCTGAAAATGTGCTCCTACTCATTTCAACCTCATTTACCTTCTAAATGACTTCAGGGAGTTTTTTATCAGGGAATCGATGTTCGAGCAGTGGAGCGGCAAATGTGACTTTTTTTGACGATAGAAAATATTGCTCTCGTTTGCACTAACAAAGTTTGATTGGTACCTCACCTTGACCGGGGGGTTGTTCTAATCCTGGGCCCGTGGGTCACCTGAAGGTGTAAAATATTACAGAATTTGGCTCTTTAGCGCCTCCTACATACCGAGCTATAGCGTTTACATGGGGAGCCAAACCAAACGGATCAATACGTCAATACATTGGTCTATGGCTTTCGGTAGCAAATCACATGGCGCGGTTCACGCGGCGGCGCCACCTGCGGAGCGGCGAGTCACGCGGGGAGTCACGGGAGCGGGGAATTGCGGGTTTGCGGCTAGAGTGTTGCGGCGAGTGGCGCGGGTACGGGGTATGTAGCGGTGCGGGGAGTAGTAGTGATCAGGGTGGAGGCGTATAGCGCTCGCGGAGGGAGTCGTAGCGGGTGCGGGGCGTCGTCGCGGTACGGTCGGTGTCGAATGCGCGTCGGGTGGCCCCCCCAGGGAGTCGTTAGCGGAGCGGGGAGTCGTAGCGGCGAGCAGGTGCCTGGCCCCCGTAGTAGCGGAGCGGGGGCGTAGTGAGCGGCGAGCGGCTGGGGGACGTCGTCGGTGCGCTTAGTGTGCTGCGGGGAGTCGTTAGCAGGTGCCGGGGACAGTCGTAGCGGTCGCGGGGATGTCGTTAGCGGTGCGGGACCGTCGTAGCGGTTGAGGGGGAGTCGTAGCAGGTGAGCACAGTGCGGGTGGTCGTACGGTTTTGCGGAGGGGTCGCGCGGTGCGGCGAGGGCGGCCCGTCTTCTGCACTTTGAGCCTTAATTTGACCCCCTGAATATGCATGAAAAGTTGTTAAATTTTGCCCAAAAATCAGACCTGGCGAAAAATTTGATATTTTTGGTGTTTATTTTAATGGGACTCAAAAAATGCCAGAACAGCGCCACCTACAACAGCCAAAATAATACCCCTATGGGAGTTCTGAAGATGAAGTTTGTTGTAGAGTCATGAAATTCGGTACACATGTTCCTCAAGTCAAGACAAGAAAAAAATATTATTATGGCTCCGCCCTCTGACAAACAGGAAGCCCATAAATGTCACTGCAAAATGGAAAAATGAACAGCAAAAGTTTTCATACATGTCGGTTGGAAAGCGACTCCTCCTCGGCCGTTTCACCGATTCGCCTCAAAATCGCTCCACATCATCTCAACACATGTACCTTCAAAATGACCTCGGGGATTTTTGATCAGTGAAACATTGTTCGAGCAGCGGAGCGGCAAAATGTGACCTTTTTTTGGCCGTTTTTGACAACATTAAATTTGCTCCCGTTTGCACAAACAAAGTCTGATTTTCACAAAACTTTAATACATTGTTCAACTCTAGGGTCTAGGTCATTTGAAAGTTAAATGATTCAAATTGACACATTAGCGCCCCCTACAGACTATTTCAAAGTTTTAAATGGGCATTTTCAAATTTAGTTTTTTCAAAATGTTTGAAATTTTGCACATACATCTGTTTTGCCCTCTTGATTCAAAAAGTCAATTGGGTCCAAGGCTTATTTTTTACCCTGTTGCCGTGGCGACGACAAACGCTCCCCATTCATTGCAAATATACACCTCACACAAACATCAAACCAGCCTCGGCCGTTTCACCGATTCGCCTCAAAATCGCTCCACATCATCTCAACACATGTACCATCAAAATGACTTCAGGGAATTTTGATCAGTGAAACGTTGTTTGAGCAGCGGAGCGCCAAAAAGTGGCGTATTTTTTTTCAGTTTTTGACCATAGAAAAATTGCTTCCGTTTGCACAAACAAAGTCTGATTTGCACAAAACTTGAATCCATGGTTCAACTCTTGGGTCTAGGTCATTTGAAAGTTAAAATTTGAAATTGGCTCTATAGCGCCACCTACAACAGCCATATTAAAAATGCCTATGGGAGGGGTTTGAGGTCAAAATTGTCGTAGAACCATGTAATTTGGAACACATGTTCCTTAAGTCAAGACATGGGAAAAAATGTTATTATGGCTAAGCCCCTGACAAACAGGAAGCCCATAAATTTCATTGCAAAATGGAAACATGAAAACCAATCATTTTCATAACGTTGGTTGGAAAGCGACTCCTCCTCGGCCGTTTCACCGATTGGCCTCAAAATTGTTCCAAATCATCTCAACACATTTACCTTCAAAATTACTTCAGGGAATTTTAATCAGTCAAACGTTGTTTGAGAAGCGGAACGGCAAAATGTGAGGGTTTTTTTGGCTGTTTTTGACAACATAAATTTTTTCCCCGTTTGCACAAACAAAGACTGATTTGCATTAAACTTGAATCCATTGTTCAACTCCAGGGTTTAGGTCAGGTGAAAGTGAAATATTTGAAATTGGCCCATTAGCGCCCCCTACAGACTGATTCAAAGTTTACATGGGGAGCCAAACCAGCTCTAATAATCATATTCATTACAATTTGACTAAGTTCTTCTATGGCTACGGGAACCAATCATCACACGGCGGCGCCACATCCTATGCGCGGTGCTACGTGGTACGGTGTGGTGCGGCGTAGTGCGGGGCGGTGGCGTTGTGGAGCGGTGCGTTGCGGCTTGGTGCGGGGCGGCTTGGTGCGGGGCGGCTTGGTGCGGGGCGGCGTGGTGCGGGACGGCGTGGTGCGGGGTGGCTTGGTGCGGGGCGGCGTGGAACGGGTGGTGGTGCGCGCGGTGCGGGGAGTCGCGCGGTGCGGCGAGGGCCGTTTGACGCCGCTTGCGGCTTTAATTTATTTCTTTCTTTCTTTTTTCTTCTGCACTTTGAGCCTTAATTTGACCCCCTGAACATGCATGAAAAGTTGTTAATTTTGGCCCAAAAATCAGACCTGGCGAAAAATTTGATATTTTGGTGTTTATTTTTATGGGACTCAAAAAATGCCAGAACAGCGCCACCTACAACAGCCAAAATAATACCCCTATGGGACTTTTTGGAGGTCAAGTTTGTCGTAGAAACATGAGATTTGGTACACATGTTCCTTGAGTCAAGACATGAAAAAAATATTATTATGGCTCCGCCCTCTGACAAACAGGAAGCCCATAAATTTCACTGCAAAATGGAAAAATGAACAGCAAAAGTTTTCATACATGTCGGTTGGAAAGCGACTCCTCCTCGGCCGTTTCACCGATTCGCCTCAAAATCGCTCCACATCATCTCAACACATGTACCTTCAAAATGACCTCAGGGATTTTTGATCAGTGAAACATTGTTTGAGCAGCGGAGCGGCAAAATGTGACCTTTTTTTGGCCGTTTTTGACAACATTAAATTTGCTCCCGTTTGCACAAACAAAGTCTGATTTGCACAAAACTTTAATACATTGTTCAACTTTAGGGTCTAGGTCATTTGAAAGTTAAATGATTCACATTGACACATTAGCGCCCCCTACAGACTATTTCAAAGTTTTAGATGGGCATTTTCAAATTTAGTTTTTTCAAAATGTTTGAAATTTTGCACATAAATCTGTTTTGCACTCTTGATTCAAAAAGTCAATAGGGTCCAAGGCTTATTTTTTACCCTGTTGCCGTGGCGACGACAAACGCTCCAGATTCATTGCAAATGTACACCTCACACAAACATCAAACTAGCCTCGGCCGTTTCACCTATTCGCCTCAAAATCGCTCCACATCATCTCAACACATGTACCGTCAAAATGACCTCAGGGATTTATGATCAGTGAAACGTTGTTTGAGCAGCGGAGCGGCAAATAGTGGCGTATTTTTTTTCAGTTTTTGACAATAGAAAAATGGCTTCCGTTTGGACAAACAAAGTCTGATTTGCACAAAACTTAAATCCATGGTTCAACTCTTGGGTCTAGGTCATTTGAAAGTTAAAATTTTGAAATTGGCTCTATAGCGCCACCTACAACAGCCGATTTAAAAATGCCTATGGGAGGGGTTCGAGGTCAAAATTGTCATAGAACCATGTAATTTGGAACACATGTTCCTCAAGTCAAGACATTGAACTTGTTTTATTATGGCTAAGCCCTCTGACAAACAGAAAGCCCATAAATTTCACTGCAAAATGGAAAAATGAAAAATAATCATTTTCATACATGTCGGTTGGAAAGCGACTCCTCCTCGGCCGTTTCACCGATTGGCCTCAAAATTGTTCCAAATCATCTCAACACATTTACCTTCAAAATGACTTCAGGGAATTTTGATCAGTGAAACGTTGTTTGAGCAGCGAAGCGGCAAAATGTGAGGGTTTTTTTGGCCGTTTTTGACAACATTAATTTTTTCCCGTTTGCACAAACAAAGTCTGATTTGCATTAAACTTGAATCCATTGTTCAACTCCAGGGTTTAGGTCAGGTGAAAGTGAAATATTTGAAATTGGCCCATTAGCGCCCCCTAAAGACTGAGCCAAAGTTTACATCGGGAGCCAAACCAGCTCTACTTATCATATTCATTCAAATTTGACTAACAATCTTCTATGACTACGGGAACAAATCATCACACGGCGGCGCCACCTCCTTTGAGCGGTGCTGCGTGGTACGGTGTGGTGCGGCGTAGTGCGGGGCGTTGTGGAGCGGCGCGTTGCGGCTTGGTACGGGACGGCGTGGTGCGGGACGGCGTGGTGCGGGACGGCGTGGTGCGGGACGGCGTGGTGCGGGACGGCGTGGTGCAGGGCGGCGTGGTGCGGGAGTGCGCGCGGTGCAGGGAGTCGCGCGGTGCGGCGAGGGCCGTTCGACGCCGCTTGCGGCTTTAATTTATTTCTTTCTTTCTTTCTTTTTTTTCTTCTGCACTTTGAGCCTTAATTTGACCCCCTGAACATGCATGAAAAGTTGTTAAATTTTGCCCAAAAATCAGACCTGGCGAAAAATTTGATATTTTGGTGTTTATTTTTATGGGACTCAAAAAATGCCAGAACAGCGCCACCTACAACAGCCAAAATAATACCCCATGGGAGTTTTGGAGGTCAAGTTTGTCGTAGAGCCATGAAATTTGGTACACATGTTCCTCAAGTCAAGACAAGAAAAAAATATTATTATGGCCCCGCCCTCTGACAAACAGGAAGCCCATAAATTTCACTGCAAAATGGAAAAATGAACAGCAAAAGTTTTCATACATGTCGGTTGGAAAGCGACTCCTCCTCGGCCGTTTCACCGATTCGCCTCAAAATCGCTCCACATCATCTCAACAAAATTAGGTCAAAATGACCTCAGGGATTTCTGATCAGTGAAACATTGTTTGAGCAGCGGAGCAGCGAAATGTGACCTTTTTTTGGCCGTTTTTGACAACATTAAATTTGCTCCCGTTTGCACAAACAAAGTCTGATTTGCACAAAACTTTAATACATTGTTCAACTCTAGGGTCTAGGTCGTTTGAAAGTGAATTAATTCAAATTGACACATTAGCGCCCCCTACAGACTATTTCAAAGTTTTAGATGGGCATTTTCAAATTTAGTTTTTTCAAAATGTTTGAAATTTTGCACATAAATCTGTTTTGCCCTCTTGATTCAAAAAGTCAATTGGGTCCAAGGCTTATTTTTTACCCTGTTGCCGTGGCGACGAGAAACGCTCCCCATTCATTGCAAATGTACACCTCACACAAACATCAAACCAGCCTCGGCCGTTTCACCGATTCGCCTCAAAATCGCTCCACATCATCTCAACACATGTACCATCAAAATGACTTCAGGGAATTTTGATCAGTGAAACGTTGTTTGAGCAGCGGAGCGCCAAAAAGTGGCGTATTTTTTTTCAGTTTTTGACAATAGAAAATTTGCTTCCGTTTGCACAAACAAAGTCTGATTTGCACAAAACTTGAATC